GATAGTGTGCTGGCTCCGGTGTTCACTATTGTAGACGACGCTCACCATTCAAACCCGGGAGCAGGCACAAGCCAACCTCATGAGCTTCGCTGTCGTGTTTAATGCCCCAGGAGAGGGCAGCGGCGCTAGTGCAGCTTCACGCAAAGTCTAGTGGAGCGGTGACCATTGCTCCGCTTTTTCCAAGTCCTTGTGTACTCCCTCGGCGTCTACCATCTTCACAAACACAGCAAGCATTGCATTGCAGAAAACAAGATTCTTCTTGTGCATCAAATTGAAGGGATTTTGAGCTTGCTCCAGATAGCATGACGGGGCATATGCAGCAAACATGAGTTTTAAGAGACTAGATTCTACCGTGGCATCCTCTCAAAAGCTTCTTAAATGTACCCAACTCTTGTCTACGACCACCAAGGCTAGGAGCTCCTTGCAGTCGAGTCACCAACAGCGTTCGTTCCTCGCCTCATCCGGGCGGCTGCAGATGGGAGCTCCAGGCTCTAACCTTCGGCGGGAGGTTGGCGCGACTCGTGCAAGCCATCACGGAGTCAGACTTGGAAACTGCGTACGCAGCCGTAGATCTCTTAGCAACTTGAACATGCTGATACAAGACAGCAGAGAGGCCCCATTGCTTGAAAGTGGACGAAGATTCGAATTTGGGTGACATTTCTTTCTTGTCACCACCTTTACATTCTCACTCGTATGGTTGGCTCTGTTTCCAGTTCTACCCACCTGGCCGTTCCTCTATGCCAGCGCCCATCAAATGGATGACTTGGTCAAGCTCTTCAAGCCCATGGCGCAGCCTCTCGAGACTCTCACCAGCTGGCACTTCTGCAACGCTCGCGATCCCGAGCATCTGGAGATCTTGCTCAAGCTCCCCCATATGGATCCCAACCGGACCTCGCCGGAGGGCTCGCTCCCCCTCATCGCTGCACTGTATCGACTAGAACTGGAGAATGTCAAACTGCGGATAGCTGCTGGGGCCGATCCAACGCTGCCGACTTACGATGGTATACTTTGCCCACTCGCCAGAGCGGCATATTCGAATGAGGATGACCAGATATTGCGAACCATGGCAGCAATATCAACGTGGACGCAGGGTATATTCTCTGGAGGGCCTGCTTGTCTCGGAAGGCTGGAGTGTGTCGAATCTTACTTTAGTGCGGTCGATGGACGTTGACGTGGATTAGACTTGAGGTCTGCTTTCAGAGATCTCTTCCACTCGTCCAACACGCCCATGCCGGATTGCCTGCTATCCACAGGAGGTAAGAAAATGCTTGTTTCTTCATCTTTGGTTCTACGTTTGTGTTTTTTGTAGAGTGCAGCAACGAGGTGCAGGGCGCACAGGCACCTCAACACAGGAGCCAGCAAAAGCAACCAAGATCGTCAAGACTGCCCAACAAGGTCGAGGAAAGTTTGCTTCCAAGTCCTATGAGATTGGAAAGGTGAAAGGTTTGTTGATTCTAATGTCCCCCCAGACATTAGAAAAGATAGATTAACAAGAGCAATTGGATTAAAAAATATCTTTAAATATACTTAGATACTTTAGGTATATCCTAGGTTAAACTAAAAAACAGTATATAATTGGTATAAGCATTTTTATTAATCTGTCAGAATTTATACTGAGAAAAATACATGAATAAAAAATTACAAAATTTGGTGATTTCTAGTCAAATAGTCTAATATTCCACTCTTCCTCGTGACTTCCCTTCTCCTCATGCATTGCTCTCTAGGAGATGGGAAAATTTGATGTTGTAAATCTATTTAATTAATATGTAGTATTCTATACCATTAACTCAACACTAATTTGATTAATGGCTGTATAATTTCTTGTGCACTTAATTGTTGTCAAATAACCATGGCTTTCACTTCATTCACTTCACTTGCTTCATTCATTTCATTTCTTGCTTGCATCTTAGTCCTTATTTCAGATGCCTAAGGCACACTAGCAAGCATACTAGCAAACAGTAATGTCAATATTAATCAACTCGTTATCTTAAGATCTTTCTTTCTTTCTTTATTGCAGAAGTGCTACTTGTTTGACGCCACAACTCTATTCCTCTTTGAGAATTCATTTGGCATTAGTCCTGCCACCTTACAGAAATGGCTTCACAGTCTATATCAACAGCACTCTCAACATCATGGCTACTTACAGGGCGTGTTTTTCATCACCAGCAATATGACCCTCTCACATCTTACAGCAGAGCTTGAGTTCTTGCCTGGATTTCCATATGCTAGAGCACTTCTCATATGGTCAAGAAAGGTCAACTTTGCTGCAGGCCTTGCTATTACTGGAGGATAGGGCACATTTGAAGGAGCAACTGGATCAGTGATTGATACAAGGCTCTATGATTCTTTTATTGGTGAATCATGGTTACTTCATGCCAACTTTTGTATCCCAACTCAATGGCAGAAGTTAAGTAATCAAGTAACTCAAGAACAAAACAATAAATTATATAAAGTTCTATTTTCTAAATGCATCTGTACTTCACTTGCTGTCTAATCAATTTTTGTTTGCTAGGCAGAAATTTTTTTTTCATCTAACAATGCTCAAAACCTTAATGCAAATGTTCAATTTGTTTTTACTATTAGCGCTGTAACAAGCTTGACAAAGGCCTAGCAAACTCTGAAATAAAAATATGTTATTGCGTTAGCTCCTCTTAGATAAATGTTGTTAGATTTGGAAATGTTTAAGTTTTTAAATCAACGAGCAATAGAAATGGTAAGTTTGAAAGAACCCTAAGTAGGTGATACTTTAGGATTACTTCCATACTTATAAACCTAGATCAGATTAGTCGCAAGTTAATCTTATTTACATGGTATATACTGATACCATATATAGAGAGTTCACAAGTTAATTTTTTCTTATATGGACGAATAAACATTGTGGTAATTGATTTGGAAATGACATTCTTTTAATGTAAATGTACCTGCTAGAGAAGACATGATTATCTATGACAACATTATAAAGCTGTTGGTTGATTCTGAACTGTTTAAGTCTGAAATGTACAAAATACAAAATTTAAATTTTATCTCGTCAAACTTTTGAAAGGAAATACAGTGATAAACAGGAAATAACAGTCATAATGGAGTTCAAGAGGTGTCAAAGAAGTCTAGATTGTAGCCCAGAAATGGCCAAGGATGATGTTCTACCAGGCTTTATCTTTTGGTCGGAGAAATCACCACCTATAACTGCAAGGGTTTATAGGTCTTTTGCACCGCTGAGCTGTGCACAACGTGGAGCTACGAAATCGCGTCTATAACCAAGGCTCAGTTAAAGTGTGATCAATATGAGGGAAGTCACAACCATCTCATTCAACATCCTATCTATCTAGAAGCTCGATGAATATCTCTCCAAGAAGCCACGCTGGTATTGCCCAGAAAGAAAGAGAAACAGGCTGGGAGACGGATGCTGCTGGTGAAAAAAACTGAGAGGAACCGCTGACGCGTTGGCGATGGCGCTGCCACCGACGCCATTGCTGCTGGAACGAAATTCGAGCAATTCAAGCAGGATCGAGCAAGGAGATGGATAGATTTGGTTTCTTCCTGGCCGAGCTCAGCGGTGTCTCTCTCGGGGGACCTGACCGACGACTTCATAAAAAAAAAACCAAAAATATGAAAAAAAGCTAAGTGATATCCTGGCCGTCCGTGCAAGGTGGATGGCCAGGATTTGGTGGGAACAGAGATTTTATTATAGAGGATGATAGTAATCATTATTTCCCTCCGCCACCGCCACCGCCACCGCCACCACCGCCACCGCCACCACCACCGCCGCCACCTCCACCGCCACCACCGCCGCCGCCACCACCGCCGCCTAAGAAACGGGCAGCCATTGCTACATTACAAGCAAGGAGGAGCAACACAACAAGAGTGAGAAGAAATCGTGCATGTCCAGCCATGTTGTGATGCTTGATTGATTTGTGATAGTGGCATACGCTGTAGTGCTCATTTCAGGCCTTTATATCCTTTGTAGCGTTTCAAGTTTCCAAGTCAGTCAAGAAACAAAGTCAAGCACGGCACTGCTGCTGGTAGTAGAAATCTATAGACGAGCGAGGCAAAATAAGTCGTGATTACTAGAGATCTGTATGCGCTTCACGCCAAATGTAGCACGCCAGTCGTGCTGGTGGTTGGACGAGGGAGGCAAAACAAGTCGCGATCTGTGTGCTTGACTGAACAACTGGTTAATTTCGTCTCGAGCTTGACCGACTTGCGATACTTGATTCAAGTCTCCGAGAAGCTGAAAGTCAGTCAAGCACGAGACGAGATGATCAGTTGTTCAGTGATCAAGCACTATCTCGTCTCGTGCTTGACTGACTTGCAGCTCCTCGGACACTTGAAACACTATAAAGGACAGAACTGAAATGAGCGTATGCACCATCAAAGTGATCATGGCGAGGATGGCAGCCCTGATCTTGTTACTACTCATTCCAGTGTCCTCTGTAGTTGGCCAAGGCGGTGGTGGTGGCGGCGGCGGCGGCGGTGGCGGCGGCGGAAGCAGCCCTGGTGGAGGCGGTGGAGGTGGTGGAGGCAGCAGTCCTGGTGGAGGTGGAGGTGGTGGCCAGGGTGGGCCTAGTTGTGGGGGAGCTCCACCTGGTGCTTCTGGAGGAAGTGGAAGTGGTGGTGGTGGTGGCGGTGGAGGAGGAGGTGGCCGTGGCTGCAAAAAGTGAATTCCACCATATCTGTCTCCTGTAGAACCGTCAGCTCAATCAAAACGTTTCCCCCCAGAAGTTCAAATTTATACTTTTCACTGGCCCTGTGCTTGGAGAATTTTACCTTTTGCTTAACCATTACATTTTCGAAAGTATTCTTTACTTAAAAAGGTTAAACCAGAGGTTTACTTAGTTATCTCCACTTGCAATGGCGTTTGTGGCCAAGCTACAGCTTGTCTCCTCAAGCTAGTAGCTCCTCTCAGGAATATAACTCACTGTGGAAAAAGTTTCAGTAGACATTTTTCAGGCCCAGTGCCATTCCTGGACATATCCTTCTCCCACACCAGCTCAAAATCCTGATCAATTTTGGATCAAGGCCAAAACCTTGCTGGTTCCTCCCAGAACCGCAGATCTCTCGCAGACAATAGTTGTGGCATCTTTGGGAACATTGTAACCAGCCAGAACACAATCTTGAGTTGACATTCTTGGCAACAGCAGCGGTGTAAAAGCATGAAGCCTGACTGTTTCCTTGACAACAGCTCTGAGGTATGGCAAGTTCAGAAAGTCATACTCCGTCACCATCTGGTTTGCCACCACAGCACCTAATTCCTCCTGTAACTTGGTCATGACATCTGGATTGTTGAGAAGATCAAGCAGTGCACAAGAACTGGTATCGGATCCCGCTGCTATAATTTCCTACAAGAGCAATACATACATAATTTAAAATTGTTTAAAAAATGCATTAATTTTTTCCGGTTGGATTTGCGTCAATTATTTTTTCGAGGAACTTGCTTAGTGACAAGTTTTCGCGCTCGGAGTCTGCTCCAGTCTATCCATCTGAGACAAGGTGGTAAGAAATCACTTATATGGAACTGAAGAGCAATCCAGGCCGATTCATCTATTACTTCCTTCAATACTTTAGCTTCGGCTATGTCATCATTGGTTGCATGCTCCTTGAAGAATCTCTTGCTCATAACGATTTGTGATATCATGTTGAATGACATGGCTGCAATAACTTCCCTCACATCGATTACACTTTGCTGATCATGAACCTTGATTATTAGAGATGAGATTGCATTGGAACCTCTTTAAGTTGGAAGCTCCAGAAAGATTGTAGGTGTCTCGTCGTGAAGAGCTCGGTGCTGCAAATCTTCCTTATGTTCTTCCACTGATCAGCTGTTGCCAATGTGACACCCTTGAAGTTGTAGGTGGTGAATTCCCCAGCTCGAAGATAAGGCTTGGAAGCAAATGTATCATTGTGACCGAGAAGTGAAGCAAGAGTTTGAGTGTGATATAGAGGTTGATGCGTTCATGCAACTTTACTTCTTGTAGGGTTTTGATCATGTCCATATTAACTTTATTTGTTAAATTTAAAATATAAGTTCTTTTAATTATACCTATATAAACATTTTGGTTTGCTTAAACATTTTGGTTGTAGGGCATGACGGGAGAATCCGCAAGATATGCAGGGGTGATTCAGGCAAGAAGTCGACAACATCAAGAGATCTTGGGCTGGGATGTGGCAACAAAGGGTTAGGTTGTGTCTCACCTCTTTTCACCGTGATTAGTGGATAATTAGTAGAGTGAGAGAGAGCGATCAAGCTTGTAAGCTTGCTCTTTACTGAGGATCTGGAGTAAGAGTGTTGTAGGTTGCGGTAAGCCTGTGGAAACAAGGTGACCCCAAGCCTTTCTACTCAGTTCTTTGGAGTGTGCCAGATTGGAGCTCGTGGGATTTTTGCCAGCAGAGGTGGGGTGCTGCTGATGTCTGGGCAGGAATTTTGAGAGACCCAACTGGGTTTCTTGGCATTTCCATCAGCTCGCCATCAATGGGAAAGGTGGGGTGAATTACTATGTGCTACTTGTTTTCCCCTTATCTATGAGGTAGCTCATTGTGCACCACATGGACAAGAATGGGTCCGACATGGGAAAATGGCAATTACGACCATCCCTTGGTATTAGAGGGTTAGAAGATAAAAATATCGTTGAAATAAGCTTGGAATAGAAAGATCCTCAAGATTGGCTAATGACATTATTTATAGCAAAATAGGTCAATGGGTGGTCAGTTTATAGCAAGTTGTTATGGGCTAAGAGCACCATAGCCACTAGGCTAGCAAGAGTTTGGTGGAATTCTTCAAAATCTTCTATCCTAGGGAATCCAAAGGGAAGTGAGATTAGGCTGAATTGGTTTGAATGTAAGTTTGGGGATTGTTTCCTGAGCCAGCGGAGTAGAGGTGCATGGTGGTCAAGGAAACTGCTGCACGAATTGGCAACTAGGGAGAACAAGACAATTTGAACTTTTGCAGTTTAGTAAGTTGAAAGTATAGCTCTGGCCATCAATGTCACGAATTGGACTCAAGGAGTATTTTGTGGAGGGACTGCAAACACCTTTAAAGGATTGCATAAAAAATACACTCCCCCAAGCAGTAGAATTTGAATTGCGAGAATGGTTCTATGAAACAGAGATACCTTGCAGCAATAGAATCTTCAAAAATGAAGGTCTCAGAGGATGCAGCGACAAAGAAGTTGAGGGAGGAAGTCAAAGGGTTTACCACAACACTCACACATGAAATCAAGGCACAACTCACGAAGAGGGATCATCAATTGGCTCCATTGGGCAAAAAGATGGTAGATTAAGGGCAAAGTGGTAGGAAGACTTCAAGTGTGGAGGAGATCATTGGGCTTGGGACTACTTGTAGTGGCAATAGACCTTAACAACCAATGTGCCTTGATTAGGGAGCCAATAGAAGATGAAGATGATCTGGAAGAGTTGATTGAGCAAGAAGCCTCTAGGGAGGAGACATCTGTCTCTATGCTATAAATTGGGGAGTAGAAGAGGATGGATGAGTGGCTTAAGAAGGCCATGGCTGATAAGAAAGAGGTTGCTGCAAAAGCTAAGTTCATGAGAGTCAAAGCCAGAAATGCAAGAAATGTTGAAGGAGTCACCTATGCAATTGCAGCTATAGAAAATCTTAACCACAGATGATGGTTGAAGGGCTTAAAGACTCTTGGTGAAACAGGTTGATGAGGATCGATACTAGGACAAAGTAGAATGGAAACAAACTTAAGTAGAGAAGATAAAAGGGCATTTGTATTGTTCAAAGGGAATTTGCCTATGTGGCCATATGGGATCATAGAGACTACTATTTGAGGTTGGAAGGTGGAGACACTCTTGGATTTAGGGGCAAACCATGATCAATGCTCAATTGAACAGCTTGTTGAGCTTAAACCAGCAATAGTTCTGGGGGCCAATGGTGAACCAATGCATACACTTGGTTCCATCATAGTTTTTAAATCTAGGTAAGCCTAGTAGAGATTAGGATCATAGTTGTTGTGAACAACCAAGATTGTTTCTTCATGCTTTTCGGGTTGGAGGCTCATATACTCTTGAATGGGTATTTAAAGCCTCATAAGCAATTGTTCTGATTATACTAGTGATGGGAAGAAGTTCCAAGTACTAGTAACAATCTATACATATTACAACATCAAAGAAAGAACCATCTACCTAACCAGTAGGACTATAGAATTTACCCAGGCTAAGAAGGCAATGGAAGTTGCAATGGAATATTGGCAGGGGCAACTGCAAATAAGATCTCCAATTTATTACACAAGGTTGAGGAGAAGCTACACCATGACTCAAGTAGCTAAGAAGAAGAAGGAAATCTTTAAGAAAGGTGTAAAAGCAACAGTTGAGGAGGATGAAATGGCAATAAATGTGAAGATTGGGAATTTGGTTGTGACAGATGCAGAATTGATGGAACATGTATAGGCCATGATTAGTGAGCATAAGGCGGTGTTCCAGCAGGTGGGATGGGAATTCCGTTGGTGGAACACAGAATTGGCACTAGGGATGCCACACCAATTGAAAAGGCAGCATATTGGTACTTGGAGATGGAAACTAAGGCAATTAATAATAGTGTAGACATAATGCTATAAGCAGGATTGGTGGATGTCAGTGGTAGAGATTGTTTTTTTTTTTTCCAGTAAGTGAAGAAAACAAGAAGAAAATGAGAAGATTCAAAAAGAATATATGAATATTCTAAAGGAATCTGCATAGTTACTTGCGGAGGTGGACAGTGTTGTTAGGGGGTGCATGCAAAGAAGGAAGGAGCAGGAGAGATGTCACCTAAGAGAGAAGGCAGTATAGAGGTATGGGCACAGGAGAGAGCTAACAGAATCACCAGGTGGTTGTGAGTAAGGAGACAAATGGAGCACACACGTCTTGTTGGTGAGTAGAGGGTGGAGACAATCTGTTTGCATTGTGGGCAAGTGTGGCTGAGGCTTCTGGCTGATCTATTGGTTGAGCTTCTTTATGATGAATAGAAAGCCTCTTGCTCACCCCTTTTTCTTGGGTTTTATTTTTTTTAGTGTTAGTGGAACCTTCAGTATTGTGCTTCCCAGGCACCAAAGTTAGATGGCAGCTTGTGGATACAAACCCTTAAAACAATATGACTTCCAATATATTTAAACCACAAAAAATCACTACCACATGTGATAAACTGAAACTCTCTTGAAGGGAAGAGAGCATGGAGATGAGAGGGAGAACAAACAATCAATGCTACAACTTTTGTGATTGACTAGCGCTAGATTTTTAGTTTCTAGTTTAAGAAAAATTGTTTTATACCACTTAAATTTTAGTCATTAAAATGAGAGTAGTTGTTATTTGTGACTCAAAAAAAAAAAGGAATTGATGTGCATTAAAGAATTTAGTTGGAAAATGAAGTCATTAAATTTAGTTGTTCTTTATAACTAAAGAACTAGCTATAAAATAAAGTTGAAAATAGTAGCCATAATAACAAGTGAAAATATTTATTCATAATTTATATTAATTTGTTGAAAATTATATTCATAATTTATGTTTGAATTCTATACTATCATGTTGAAAAATTAGTCATAATTTATATTTGATTTTATATTATCTTTTTGAAAATATTAGTCATAATTTATATTGTGATTTGAATTGTTAAATACAAATTTTAGTTAAAAAATTAATTATTAAAAGATTTAAATATTAATTTAAATTATTATTTCTTATATGAATGTTGTAGCCATAATTCTCAACCTAAAATAAAATTTCAGAAATTTGGAAAAAAAATTAAACTACTTACAAGCTTATTTCAAAGACTTCCAATTCCTCTAGAGCCATTTTTGTTGATATTTTTCACTTGTTGTTATACTACTATTTGCTTTAAATTGTTTTTTCCAACTTACTTTTCCACATACCTTTTAACAACTTCAAAACCTTCTTCATTGAGTTTTAACCACAATCCTCCACCTTCCTTTGTTTAATCAAACAATACATATAAAATTTTGCTAAAATTTTAAATTGTTCTCCCATCCAGCTTTTGCTAATACCACCACCAAAACAATCTTTTATATATTGTGGCCAAGTGTTGAGGCTGTTGGGCAGCAAAAACAAAGAGTAAGAATCAAAAGTCTTTTAAAAGTGCTTGTGATGGCTGTGAGTGTCGAGGTTGGAGGGATATAACTGGCTACCTTAGGGCTAAGACCAAGTGGAGAGGCTGTTCGGCTGTAAAACAGAAATAAAAATCAAAAGTTTTTTAAAAAACTTTACTTGAGTGTGTTGGAGGGTTATTGGCTGCTCTAGGCCTAAGACCAATGTTTGGCTGCCAAAAATAAAGAGAATCAAAAGTCTTTTAAAAAACTTTACCTGGGGCTACTTGTGATGACTTTGTTAGGAAGGCTGTGTAGAGCTAGCCACCCCTAGAAAAAACCAAAAATTAAAGGTGACAAAAAATTAAAAGTTTTATTTACCTAGACCTGAGTGTTGAGGGTGCTCTAGCAAGTGTCTAGGTTGCTGGGCTGCACAAAGAAGAATTATAAAACACAGCAATTTTAAAAAGCACTTTACCTGGAGTTACTACTAAGTGTGATGGTTGTTGGGAAGGCTAAGAACTCCCTAAAAACAAATGAAATCAAGGTGAAAGTTTGAAAGTTTGTATCATTTAGAGTAAAAAATGGGAAAACACTTATTCTCAAACAAGTT